TTGTTATGAAGCATAAGGATTTGAACTGTAGGCAAGTGCTCTTTGAACAGGAATGGCTTTAGTGCTCACCATTTTTCTTATTACTCTGTCTTTCATAAAAAAATTGACTTAGGTATTTTCTATTCTCTCTTCAGCTTGTCAATGTTTTTAAGTTTTATTGCTTTAAAAAAATTTCATTATTTTTCTTTGTTCTCAGTAGGATGATAGATTGAAGTAACGCAACTTTTCATTACTAACACCTGCATTTAGTTACATTTTAAAGATAATATCTCACTTTGGACTTTATTAGATATTTTATAGTCATACTTGTTTTGTCTCTGGGAACTTATTTATTTATTTATTTTTTTGAGACAGAGTCTCACTGTGTTGCCCTGGCTAGAGTGCCATGGCATCGGCCTAGCTCACAACAACCTCATACTCCTGGGCTCAAGTGATCCTCCTGCCTCATCCTCCCGAGTAGCTGGGACTACAGGCATATGCCACTATGCTCAGCTAACTTTTTCTATTTTGGGTAGAGATGGGGTCTTGCTCTTGCTCAGGCTGGTCTCGAACTCCTGAGCTCAAGCAATCCTCCTGCCTTGGCATCCCGGAGTGCTGGTAATACAGGCGTGAGCCACCATGCTCGGCTGGAACTTACGTTTTTTAAAGGGCACCAATCCCATCTGGGAATTTATTAATAATCTCTAGGAGCGGCTGATTATTCTCTTAAAATTTCTAGAAGTAATTCGATAACCCGAGGTACATTTGCATAAAGACAGTGCCTATAAATAGCCATGCTTATAACATTGTTCACGTGATGAGATCCATGCTCACACACGTGCTGTTTCCCAAGAGCTTCCATAATAATTAGTCCTGCTCCTCTCATGGCACTTATGCTATTTAATCAAAAGAAAACCCTTGTAATTTTATTGTCTATCTTTACTATGAGACTCTAAGCAAGATCAAGACCCTGTCTCTACTAAAAAACAGAAAAAAATTAGCCGGGTGTGGTGCCACATACCTGTAGTCCCAGCTACTTAGGCTGAGGCAGGAGGATCGCTTGAGCTTAGGAGTTTGAGGTTGCTGTGAGCTAGGCTGATGCCATGGCACTCTAGCCCAGGCAACATAGTGAGACTCTGTCTCAAAAAAAAAAAAAAAAAAAAAAAAAAAAAAAAAAAAAAAAAAAAAAAAAAGAAAAACAAAAGAAAAACAAGAAACACACACACACACACACACACACAAAACAAATGACTCACCACCCCCCACAACCTACCGTTCTTTAAAAAGCCCATGATCTCCGTTAGTCAGCAGTTGGATTTGAGGCAGCTTCTCGCATTCTCCTTCCTGAGAAGATGACAAGATGTTTTCCATTTTAAAAAAATTCCTTTCTTCCTTGGCAATCTTGTTGTCTCAATAATTGGATTTTGTGTGATGAGCAACAGGACCTACGTGAAAACACTCCTGAAGTTTCAACAGCACTCTGAGGACCCCGCTTCAACTTTCATATCAATAAACAGGCTCCTAAGGAACTCTAGAATTGTGGGGGAAGTGATTTTCTAGATCTAATTATCAGAAAGTTTCCCTAGAAAATTGTTCTTTGTTTAAAAATACCTGTATTATTATTTATTTTTTCCATAAATAACACAGGCACATGGTACAGAATTTCAAAGCACAAAAGGAGTTATGAAGAAAATGTCTCCTTTACTCTCTTGTTCCTCAGACACCAAATTCTACTTGCCTGAAGTGACCCCTGTTACCAGTTTCTCAGAGCTCTTTCAGGAGATATCATACACATTGACATGGAAGGTAGCTACAATACACTGCTGATCACTTTCCTATATTCACTTATTATGTCTTGGAGATATTGCATATCATTACTTATGGAATTGCTTCATATTTTATAAACTGAAGACATAGTATTCCATTATATGACTTACCAAATCTTATTTAAGTAGTCTTCTATTAATGGGAACTGAGTTTTGCCTCAATATTTTCCTATTACAACAATCCTGCAGGAAATAGTCTGTACTTTTCATTATTTCCTACACATGTGAGAATATCTATAGGCTAAACACCTTAGTTGAATTGATGGGTTCAAGAGCGTGTGCCTTCTGAATTTCGACAGAGGTTGCCTAGCCACCCTATAGAGTTTGTAAACGTGTGCTCCTACCAGCTAAGTGTGAGAAAGCCCGTTTCACCACCCCCAACTTTATAATGTATTACCAAACTTCTTTATCTTTTTCAATCTAATAGGTTAAAAATGAGATGCCATTATAGGCTTATTCTCCCTTTATCTTTTTATGAATGAGTTAGTGCTCTTTGTACATGTTCAAGAGTCATTTCTGGATGTTATTTTTTTATATCCTTTTGTTTATCTTATTGGGATGTTGTTCTCCTACCATGTTATAGAGCTTTATGTATAGTAAGGAAACAAACATTGTGATATGATTGGCAAATAAGTGACAAGTCCTAAAGATAGAAATACAGGGTTAGTAAAGAAAAAGCAACTTGGGCTAGTTAAAAGGGTGGTGGATGGAACATTTTTTTTTTTATCATTAAAGTTATTATCCTCAGCAAATTACTCCCTGATTCCCAGTCCTCATTTTCTTCACCTGAAAAGTAGGTATTTGGATTAGTGAAGACACTTTAATCACAGCCCTTCACTCAAGGCCTAGGAGAGAGTTCAAGGAAAACTAGCCCAAATTTCTAACACAAGTTATGAGTAGATATTTTTACTGATCTACAATTGCTTGTTATTTTCCATTAAAAAAAGGTATAAATCTGTGGTGCCGATGTTACCCCTTGTTTTCCTGTAAGTGACCTCTCTGCTTGCAGGGGAAGAGTCCTCAGAGATTCTTTGTTGGTTGCAATGAAAAGCAAAGCAGGTGTATATCCCAGACTTGTGCTTACAGCAGCCTCTATATCCACCTGTCTCTCTGAAATTTGGGTGTTTGCATATTTATGCTACAAGATCATCTTCTGAAGGTGAGGGGAGAAGTGAGAATGTATGGAATTTAGATATAATAGAAAAGACTTTCTGATTATGGTCATGGCTGAGCAGCTTGTATTCAACTTGTAGTAACTTCCATCAAAAGTAACTATAAAATCTGGACAAAATACATAAGACAACTATTTGAAGATTCCAGGGAGCAACTGACAGAGGCAAGGCTTCAGGGGCTACAATTCCAAGATGAAGGGAAGTACAAGGAGCTGAGTTCCACACTCATCATGTGTTTTTCCCTGAGGACATCTGACAAGTCACTGGGCAGGGGAAGTATGAGGATGTGTAGGCATGTGGGAAAGAATTGGGGAAGGGAGGAATAGAGGCTGAGCAGTGAAGGAAATTAGAAATATTTTTACCCCAAAATATGGCATTTTGAATACTGGATTGACTGAAAAAGCATCAAGATCAGTCTGACCCCCTGTACTCTCATCACCTGCTCTCCCAAAATCTTTGAAGTTTCTTTATCTGCCTGAGATCCAACTTACATAGGAAAACAATTGTCTTTCCTTCCTCTATTATTTGTAGGAAGGAAGATGAAGAATAGAACCAGACCCGGTCCAATCCATTTAAAAAATAATTCCTGTCTCTCCAGTTAATTTAGTCTCCAAAAAGAATAATTTACAAGTCAATCTGTTTTCCCCATCCATTCATTCTCCCAAGTATCTCTTCGTCCTTGGCAGTAATCATTTATTGCCCCTCAACAGAATTATCCATATTCCTCATCTCCTCCTCCTTCCTCTAAATTGAGAGTAAACTTCTGGACTCCATTTGGATATTGAGGAATCAGTCTGTTATTCTCCCCATGTCAAACATAAATAAGTAGTTTGTATTTCTTATTAATCTGCCTTATTGTGAGTTGATCTTTCAGTGAAACTTCCAGAGGCAAAGGGGAAGTTTTACCTTCTCCCCCCACAGCAGAAAGCAGTAGTTTCACTGAACTGAGAAGATAAAGGATTGGGAGTTTATAGCTGCCCAAACAGCTGGTGTTTGAGAAACAAATAGAGGAGGAACACAGAAGTGAGGTTCAAACTATGATGCAATCTTCATTAAAGGCATTTGAGTTTGTAAACTGTTCATGTGCAAGATGAGACTTCAAAATATCTAGCAGAAGCTAGGAGTCTACAGAGCTAAGCAGAAGTTTCAGGAGTAAAGGTTATACTGGACTTGATGTTCTTGGTACCCAAGTGAATAGAAATAGGCATGAGACTAGGAAGATTTAGGCAGGCAAGGGTTTTACTGGGGCTTTTTGTACAAACAAAAAGGGAGGCACTGCTGGTTAAGGGGACAACCAGACTGGTTCTCCAAACAAAGGGCTGGGAAACTGTTACAAGTTGGTAAAGAGGGAGGTGGATGTCAGCTTTGAAGTCATCACATGTAGAAGCAGTGTTATGCTGGCAGCTGAGTACTTGATGGTCATGCTCTTCATGCATCACATGTATCATTAGCATTTTAAATCTGCACCCAGCATGTGTTTTTTAGCATAAAAGTGAGATTATAATGAGGGAAAAGTCAGAGTAGGGTCAGGATGGGGGGGGTCTTTTCTTGCTTGTGGTGGTTAGATGCGGATAAGTCTGGTTTCTTAGCAGTCAGATTCCTTATCAGCTGGTGTCAGCATCTTGCTTCAGTGGTCCTGGAAGACACTACTCAAGAGACAGACAATTTAGCCTCCTTATTATATAGATATGGGCTTAATGCCAGTAGCTAGGAGATCATTTTTTTTTCTCCTCTACCGTTTATTAGGCTGGGTCATTCTGCCCCACGTTGCCCCCTTGATCCTAGTGAGGTCCGAATTCCATTCCTGTACTGTCTCTAAGGGGTTCTAGTAGTACATAAATAGGAGGTCAGGACTGATTAAGGTGGCGAGGCCTTCTAAACAGTCCAGGTGTGCAACTGAGATGTTCCTGGCCATGTTCCTGGAGTAAGAGCCACACCCTAGGAGTAAGACACGGACTAGAATCGACCTTTTAAATATACCTAAAAAGAATCCTTAAATGGAATCAAAGGGATCTGCCTCTGCTCTGCCTTTTTCATTAATATTTTATATTCCCAGAATTTTCTGCATGGCTTTTTTCATATCTTTGTTCCTAAGACTATATATCACAGGGTTTAGGAGTGGGGTCACAACAGAATAAAACAGAGTCACAATCTTCTGCATTGCAGCTTTATGCTCAGATGCTGGGCTCCCATACATGACCAGTACTGAGCCATAGAACAGAGACACCACAGCCAGGTGAGACCCACAGGTGGAGAAAGCCTTTCTTCTCCCAGCAGCTGAAGGAACCCTCAACACAGCTCTCAGGACAAGAGCATAGGACCCCATGATAAAGAGAAAGAGAATCATTACAGGCACAGGACATAAGGTGGAGAAGACAAGCTCTGTGACAGGAGATTTTTTGCAAGTGAGTGCTAGAAGAGGACCTGGGTCACACAGGAAGTGGTCAATAATCCTGGATCCACAGAAGGTCATTTGGGAGATGATGATGATGGGGATTAAGAACCAGAGGAAACCAAGTACCCAGCAATTGATCACAAGATTGGTGCAGAGACGTCTGGTCATAATGGTGGGATAGTGTAGAGGTCGGCAGATGGCAAGGTATCGATCAAACGCCATAACCGCCAGGAAAAAGGATTCCGTACAACCCAGGGAGAAGAAGAAGTAGAACTGGAGAAAGCACCCTGCGAAGGAGATGACCTTGTTGTCAGAGAGGAAGTTTGCCAGCATGTTGGGGACCGTGGAGGTGACGTACCAGATCTCCTGGAAGGAGAAGTTGGCGAGCAGGATGTACATGGGGGTGTGGAGTCTCTGATCCCAGCGCACAGCACAGATGATGGAACCATTGCCCATGAGGGTCAGGAGGTAGACAGCAGAGAAGAGCACAAAGAGGAGGATCTGCCCCTCCCTGGGACAAGGGAAGCCCAGGAGGAGGAAGCCAGAGATGGTGCTGGAGTTGCTGGGGGTGTTGAAGATCTTCATGTGTCTGTGAGCTGTAAAAGCACCACCAATTACTGGATGATGGTGCAAAGACAGTGGGACTCAGTTACTTTTAAAGTCTTCTTGAAAGGAAATGCATATCTATCTATCTATCTATCTATCTATCTATCTATCTATCTATATCTGTCAATAGCCACTTTTTTCTTTAAAACTGATAAGATGACTTGGGTTGATTCTCTCATTCACTTTTTCACCATGGGCTCAAGAAAACTTTTGGTTAAAATTGATAAACTCTTATATATATTCTATTAAGTGTAGCATCTAACACAATCTTCAAGCACGCTTATAGCACTCTCCTTGAAGAGCCTATACATATGTCTCTCTCTCTATATATATATGTATACACATACACTAGGATATATGTATCTTTACAAACGTGAAATTTCTCCCATTTTCAGAAGAGGTAACACCATTGCAGCTCTTCATGTAAGAGAGTGAGTCAGACTGTGTGATCATACAACGTGAATCTATAGAACTTTTTAATTACTTCTTTTATGTAATTTATGACCCAGGCCTTATTCCAAATTAAATGGTTAACTTACTAATTTAATAATATTATCCACCGATTTCATGAATAAAACAGTCCACTGAAGTGGAGGAAGTTAGCTGTGATTAGTTTCTCTTGTGTCAGAACAGCAGTCCTAGCCATCCCCGGTGGACCAGGCTGAAAGAATTTAATAATTCTGGCCATGCTGAAACATGTCTGTGTTTGCCTGGAAAAGAGATATGAATCTGCTTAGACCACAGTTATAGATATAATTTCATTCCAATGATACAAACTATGGATATTATTGATAACATGGAATTCTAAATAGCACAGGTTTTGTATGGGGTGTTAAACTAGAACTTTGGTGCATTTCCTATTAATTTGCTTGGGAACATGTCAAGGCAGAGTGGCTTTTACTACAATTGATCTTAGCCAAAGGCAAGAAGCAATTAGGGTGGGCTTTAAAGCCTGAATATCTGCATAATGCCTTTCTTTTGTTGTAAATGAGTTAGAATACATTTGTTAAACAATCATGTACCCAGGCCTTGGAATAGGTTAGAGCCCTGTCTAGATAAGTGCATAAATTAGCAACCTAAAGTAAGTCTGTATTCCCTTTTCTGTAAAATCCTTATTTTGCTTTTTAAAGTTTGGCACTGGGACCCAGGGAGTTGAAGGGTGGGAGAATCTGCCACCTCAAAATATACCACTTTGGCATAAGATTATTTTGAGCTGAAGGCAATCGAACCAAAGAAGATACAAGAAAAGCCCTCTTTTCTCCCTCTAATATTTGCCTAAAAGCAGGACATAAATTTGTAAAGCCTTTCTCCTGCCTCTACCAGGAAGGACAGAAGTTAATTACCAGAGACAACTCTAAACCCTTATCATCCTGGAGATGTTACTGGAGGACTCTATTAAACAATCTTACTAACTAATCCTTTTCTTCTATTAGATCTCCCATAATATTTACCTTCCCATAATTTGCCCTAGAAACACAAAGTCATTTTTCTTTGCCTTGTCACTTCTCTAAAATTTATTGTTCTTTACTTAGGATACTATGTAAGCCCAACTTCTAACCAGCCCTTTGAATTACTTACCTCTGAGTGCTCTCATGTGTATGTGTGATGCACATTGCTAATAAACTTCTGTTTTTCTCTTGCTAATCTGTATTTTGTCAGTCTAATAAATAGGATCCCATCAGAAGAACTTAAAAGGATTGAGGGAAAAAGATTTTTTCTTCCCCTGTAGAGTCTACTTATTTCTTAGTAGGAATATATAAGTTCTGTAAAATCTATAGAACGAAGAGCAAAAGGAGGCAGCAGCAAGCTGACTTCCTTCTCAAGCATGGATGTGAGTGGTTGGAGTTTCATGTTGGAAGAGGAATGCAATCCTTCTTGGTGTGGGATGAACAGAAGGAGTAATTATAACACAATATGTAATTTTAAAAAACATTTTCTGTTTAAGCTCAGGGTTATCTGATTCTCATGGCATGAGATGCTTGGGGTAAACATAATTTCCACAGTTTCTGCCAGACTCTATTTTAATGTATGTAACTGAAATATGGTTCTAATAGACTTGGGTCTTGGTGGGAGCAGGGTGGGATAATTCTGGTAACTGCAGCATAAACTTCTATGTTCTATGTCTTCTTATTTTCTTCTTTGCTTTTAACGTTATTAGTCTAAGAGCCCAATAAATTTCTGAGATGTTCATCTTTCATAAAGGGGAGTTGCAAGCTGACAGCAGAATAGTCTAATTTTTTTCTTTTTAAAGTCATTCTGTACCAGCTTCACTCATGATCAAAGACATTAAGCCGTTAGTCATTTCTGCAGCATACCTTAGGGTTTGTAGGGTGTCTTAAAGGTTATGTTGTCATCATATGAGTCCAGTGAATATACCCAACGACTTACTGATGAATATAAACACAAAAGAAGAATTCTGCTATGATATGTGAAGGTCCTTGATGGATTCTTAAAACTATTAAGCTATATGACAAGTACGAATTCAGAAGAATATCTTTGCTATGATCAATTAAAACCACTATTACTCAAAATGCTTAGGTATTTTTGGATAGGGCTTTCTTTTTTTTTTTTTGCTGGTGTTCCTAAAATTTCATTTTAGGAGTAAGCATCTGCTTAACAATCAAATAATTTGACCCCTTGGATTAAATGCTTAATCAACTCTTTTTTTTTTTTTAGTGGAACTTATTTCAGTGTAGTATCTCCTCCTTTTCCTCTACTTTCACATCTAATTCATCAAAAATTTCTGTTACTTTTGTCTCCAAAATAATTCTCATGTATGCCTCCTTCTCCCCATCTGCACTGCCAACATCCTAGTTCAAGCCACCATCTTTTCTCCCGTGGACCATGTGATGCTGTCCTAACAATCTCCTGTTTCCACTCTTGCTCCTCTATGACTTGTTTTCCTTGCCACAGCCAGAGTGACTCTTTAGAAAAGGAAATGAGATCTGTCTCTTTCCTTGCACACAGATTTCAATTAGCTTATCAATGCTCTTAGAATAAAATATATCCTCTAAGCTGTGGACTTTGATTTGACCCCTTTAATATTTCCAACTTCATCTCATGATTCTATCAATCAAACTCTCTTTCTCTCCTGCACACACACATTGTTGTACAAAGGGGGCACACACACTCCACTAATACAAACACTCAAATATAAAATAGGGTTCATTGGAGAAAACAGTTGGAAAGCAGAGGGGTAACACAGTGTACATCATCCCATGAGATCTCCTGGTCCCACTGAGGGGTGGGCGCATTTGGACCACAGACACATTAGCCAATATTTCAGTAGAAAAGGATCCACCTCTGTAATGGTATTCACCAGGGGTCAGTAAACATTTTCTTAAATAGTTTAGGCTTGTGGGCCATATAGTCTCTGTTGAAACTACTTAGCTCTGCCATTATAATGCAAATGCAGACACACACAATACCCAAATAAATGCATGTGTCTGTGTTCCACTAAAATTTTATCATGTCCACTGAAATGTGAATTTCTTATAATTTTCGTGTGTCATGAAATCTTACTCTTTTATTGATTTTGAAACATACATTGAAAATGTAAAAATAATTCTTAGCTCTCTGGCCATACAAAAATAGGCAGATTGGGCTCACTGGCTGTAGTTTTCTACCCTTGCCCTGCACGTTTTCAGGGGAAGGAGAATAAGAGCATCCATTTGACTGTAGAACAATGGCACACAAACACATACACGTGTGTACATGCACATGCACACACAAACCTCACTCCTTCATACACTACTTCACTAATATAACATTAGCATTTTGGTTTCTAGAAAAAGCCAAGTACTTTCAGGACTCAGAGTCTTGCTCCTGTCCTTCATGTACACTCTTGATCCCTGTGCCCAGCACAGTCTGAGAAAGACAGTAGCTACTTCACAAATATTTGTTAAAGAAGTGATTATCTGCACTGTCAAAACAGAATATACATTGATGACAGATATTTATCAATTGCTTCACTTGAACTTCAAAATCTTGTAAGATAAAATTTGAGGAAATGAAATAGACAAGAAAAGCTCCTAGAAGTGTTGGCCCGGACTTGAGAGGAATTCCAAAGAATATAGTGGGAAACTGAAGGTTCTGGATGATAGAACATGTCCCACACCACGTAATTTCCTTTCTTGACTGTTAAAGATAAATACGGTTTTGCATTTTTGGGTGTAGGAGTAAGAGAGGGACAGCTGGATGGAAATTCTAGCCTCAGCATTGTGACTAAGTTGCTTAGTGGCTCTACTGGAGTCTTTTAATCTCTGTAAGCTTCATTTTCTTTACATGAAATGGGAGTTGAAGTATATGATTTGAAATCTCTTTTCATTATAAAATGCTTACTTCTATTCCAAGCATTCCACAAGTATAGATGATATCAAGACTTTATGGGTCTAGAGGTGATGTTTTAGTTATATTTATCTCTAAGATGAAAACACGAGTTGAACAGTTCATCACTTATACATGAAGTCAAAAGATTCAGACCAGCTCCTGCTCTGGCAATTTTCCAACAAAGCTTCTCTTGAAAACAAGAAGGCTGTGAAAATGATTCTCTGTGTATTATCACCATTCTATGCGTGATCTAACTAGATTAACAGTACAGGAAGAACACATGATATTTCTAAGAAGAACGTGTTGTTACTCACCTTTTCTTACCCAGCTCCTCTGTGCAGAGAGCAGCAGTGGTGTTTACCTGGCACAAGGCAAAGCTGGAGCTGTCCAAAGTGGCCGGCAGATGCCCCTGAGCTGGCTGCAGAAGTGAGAGTGAATATGGGGACAGTGGTGTCAAAGCTGTGCTTATGTATGCAGGATGCTTTCACTGAGTTAATCAACTTTCCAAAGAAGAAAACAACATCTTCACCGTCATTATATTTTAGAAAGGTTGGGATAGACCTAGTTAAGGTTAGTGAGATCCTGTGCTATGCTATATGAGAGAAAGGCATTTCCCTGATAATTAATTTTTTTCCCAAGGATAGTCCAAAAAGGCACAATGTTGTAGAAGCATTATTGGCCTGATCACAATAGGACATCCTTTTTCCTTTAGTCTGGACCAGAGACTGTCACATCCATTTAATTTCTTCCAGCCCTTGAAAATAAGAACAATTTCCATTTTATGAGAAGTGTTAGGCAGTTATGAAGTCATACAAAAGCAATGGATTTGGGGTAAGAATACTAGGATTTCAATTACAACTCATATGTTACCAATTTCAGAAATGTTCTTCATTACATCATCTCCTTTCATGAACAAAGGGGGAATCCAAACTTGAAGTTTCTCTGACAGTGTCTGGTTTTCCTGGAGAGGAGAGGTAGTCTTGTCTACAATAACCATAGAGGATCAAAGGAGCAGAAATAGGGTGAAAATCTTAGCGTTTACAGGAAGATGAGGGGATTATAAGAAGAGCCTTCAGGGAGTGGGCCCTCCTCCTTTGCTCAGTTAGAATCAATTTACTCACTCTAGATGGGGAACAGTGTTACGGGACTGCCTTGTGCTATTTTGTCCTTTCCTCTGGGGCCTGTCTTCTCTAGAGACCCACGGTGACTCCTGCTTTGTTTTCCAGTAGAGTAGAAAACATTACTTTTCCAGCCCTAAACTTCTCAGGGATGGCATGAGATATAATCAGTCTCTAGGCCCATTCATAGTGTCTACCACGTATCAAATAGAAGTCTACCAAAGTAACACAGGGGTGTGATGGCTGCAATGCAGGAAGCTGTTCACTGGGCACTGGTGAGTGGTGTCAGTTATGGGTTTTGGGGACAAGGCCTCCCCTGATTTTAAACACATGGTTATTTTTGCCATTAATTTAGGAGATTTAACTGTTTTCATTATAGTAACATTATTAAATTAGTCTTAGCTACCCAAAATCACACAACCACAGATCATTTTATTTTTGCTGGTTTTATAGTTTTACAACTTTGTGTCAAACCCTGACACATTCAAATATGAAAATGACAAGACAAATATATATCCTGACAATTTTGAGATTATTTTTCTTTTTTCTTTTTTTTTAATTTCTCCATAATTCAGGGGCCATGGACATTTTTATTTTTGTTTTACCAATAGTTTTTTAAAAATGAGCTTATTTACCAAAGATTACTAAATTCACCTGAACTTGAAAGGCATATGGACTTATTTAATTTATGAGAACTCCTTTTATTTATAAGCCAATTTGGTATAATGTAGGCATAACATGTAATACATGTATACACACAAAACACATCCAAATACATACTCATACACATGTACACAAAGTTTCAATAGCTTTTATCTCAGAACTCCAGGCATGAAATCCTCTGAAGTTCCACGTAAATATGTATATATTATTTTTCTGTTCCTTTTGTTGCCTTTCCAACTTCAGTTTTTCCCCCAGTCTTGGCCAGGTTGCCTCCATCGATGGAGATGTCTTTCAAGCTCCTAGACCTTAGGGCAAAGATGTCTTCTAATTTCCCAGACCTTAGGACAGAGGTGTCCTTGAACCTTTCATACCTTAAAACCTGCCACAAGAGAAACTACCCATGGAATTTCTTTCAACCTCCCAGACCTTGGACTTCACTGATAATACCCATCAGCATCGAATTTAAAGTAGGCAAAAAGAAAATAGAGACAAAGAGCTTAACAGGCTCCACGTTTGCATGCCACATATCAGTACAGAAAAACACTCAATGTAAAGACAAATTTAAGAAGTTTCAAACAAGTGAACTGCAGTTGAAGTAAGAAATTCTAGGAGTGCCAAAGCAAAACACTTAGTTCAGTTCCCACTTTCACAAATGGTTGTGGGCTTACAAAACCCCAAGCACACAGGAATTCCCTTGAAATTTTCCCAATTGAGAGGGCTGTCTTCACAGGGCACTATCTTCAAATAGCACTTACCCATCCAGATGCAACTGTCAAAATGCAGAGGTACTTTCTTCTGAGGCAATCAGGAGGCACTGATGAATGCATTGGAGGCCCAGCTGACAGGAGAGTCCAAAGCCACCCTCTGGTACATATGGCCAGGCAGCTGCTAAGGGAGGCTTTTGGTCTCTTCCCACTCCACAGCTTCTGAACCAGGAGCAACCTCTTCCCTGGTAAGGAACGAAAATTGTTATTGAAACAGCAAGGTGATTTTGGCCTTGGGACCATTGCTCACCACACAAAGATCCAATTATTGGGACAATGAGGACTGCCAAGGAAGAAAGGGTGGAGATCATGGGCTTTTAAGGAGGGGCCATGTTCCTTGGGGCAGGTCAAGGGGGATGGTGAGTCTTGGCTTCAGGAAGTCTGTCCTGGGACCTTCTGAATCCCCGCTCCTTTGTCCTTCAGTAGATCTACCATTTCTGGGAAACAACTCAAAAGATAAAGTAGTTATTTAATAGTTAAGGGAGAAGATTAAAAAATTGAAATTTGTTCATGGAGCCAGTTACAGCAGGGACAAAATAAACAGGAAGAATGCAGGGGAGCTAACAAAGGGTGTTCAAGGAAGGTCTCCGTAAAATAGAATATTTGGCTGGAAGTTGAGGAGTGAGCTCCAGATAAGATTTTCAAACAAAGAGAACATCTAATGCAGAGAGTGGTCAGAGAAAGACTAGCCTTATTCTAGGACTGACAGAAGGCTCATGTAACTGAAGAAGTAGCAAGAGGGAAAGGTACGCCAGGAAAGAGGGAGAGGGAACAGAAGAAGTTGGCAGAAGTAGGCAGGGGCCACCAAAAACAATAATAGCAACAACAAAAAAATAGATAAATGGGAACTGATCAAATTAAAAAGCTTCTGCGGAGCCAAAGAAACCATCACTAGAATGCATAGACAACCTACAGATTTGGCCAAAATATCTGCATGCTATACATCTGATAAAGGGCTAATAACTAGAATCTATATAGAACTCAGGAAAATCAGTAAGAAAAAAATCAAACAACCTATTAAAAAGCGGGCAAAGGACATGAACAGCAACTTTTCAAAAGAAGATAGACCAATGACTAAGAAACATATGAAAAAATGCTTAACATCTGTAATCATCAGGGAAATGCAAATCAAAACCACAATGAGATATCACTTAACTCCACTCAGAATAGCTTATATCAAAAGGTCCCAAAACAACAAATGTTGGTGTAGATGTTGAGAGATAGAAACACTCTTACACTGCTGGTGGGAATGCAAACTACTACAACCTCTGTAGAAAGCAATATGGAGATACCTCAAAGAACTAAAAGTAGATCTACCATTGGATCCAGCAATCCCACCACTGGGTATCTACCGAAAGAAAAAAAAAGTAATTTTATAATAAAGACATCTGCACTTGAATGTTTACAGCAGCACAATTCACCACTGCAAAGATATGGAAACAACCCAAGTGCCCATCAATACATGAGTGGATTAATATAATGTGGTATATGTATACCATGGAGTTCTACTTAGCCATAAAAAGCAATAGTGAACTAACACCTCTTGTATTATCCTGGATGGTACTGGAGCCCATTCTACTAAGTAAAGTATCAGAAAAATAAGCCCCACATGTACTCACTGTCAAATGAATACTGATTAGACTTAGGTGCACATATGTGAGTAACATTCATCGGTTGTCAGGCAGGAGGTAGGAGGGAGGAGAGGATGGGTAAATGCACACCTAATTGGTGCAGTAGCACTGTCTGGGGATGGGCATGCTTGGAGCTCTGACTTGGGCAGTGCAAAGCCAATATATGTAACTTCAACAGTTGTGCCCCCATAATATTTTGAAATTAAAAAAAAAAAAAGGAAGTAGGCAGGGGCCAGGTAATTCAGGGTTCCATATGCTAAATCATAGAGTTTGAATTTTATTCTAGGTTGGAGAAGCCATTGAGTATTTTTGTGCCAAGAAATGATGTGATCTGATTTACATCATTACAAGATTGGCATGCCTGCTGTATAGAGAATGGGTAGTAGGGATGCAAAGGCAGGAAGCAGAGAGATAATTCAGGAAGCCTTTGTAGTAATCTGGAGAAATAATAATGGTATCTTGAACCCTGAGGATGGTAGGGGAGAGAGCGAGAAGCAGATGCATCAAAGCGTATATTGGAAATAGAGCCAATAGAAGTTGCTGCTGGAGTTTGATTTTCGTCCAGGGACGCGGAAGTACGTCCTGAGGTAGGGGCGAGCAGTAGGTTGGTTGGACACGGAAGGAGGCGGCTGCGCCCCCCGCGGAGTGGCCCTGCCTGCGCCAGGAGCTCAGCGCCTAGCCCGGGTCGACCTCATCCCCTCGGTGAGGCCGTGGTCGCTGTCTGTGGCCTGCAAGCCGGAGCGCGCGGGCGGACCCGGGGTGGACGTCTGAACGCGCCTGCACCAGGACCAGCGCACTCCGGAGTTCTTCGACTGGGGATTCCGGGACAGCGATTCATAACGCGTTGATGTTCTCATGTTGCCGGGAGGCTTGGCTTCGGAGGAAGGTACCAAGAGACTGACTATGTTTCCTTGAATTGCTTCTGTATTTGCTTCATCAATGTCTTTCATTTTGAATATCTTAAGAAGGATGCTGGAATATTTTGGTATCCCCATAGACCAGGTTTTGCTGATTTGGGAGAATAAAGACTATGGATCAACCCGGAGTATTGTTCGTATTATTGGGAAAATGCTGCCATTAGAACCTTGTCGAAGACCTAATTTTGAGTTGATCCCATTCTTGAACTCTCTAGACTCTGATAGCTGTGGATCTGTTGTTCCATCTTTTGCTGATGTTTTGTGTGTGGCAAATGATAAAGAATCCAGTTATCTCAGATTTCGAAATAGTATATGGGAAAATGGGGAAGAGGAGAAAATTGAATGTTTCCATCCTTTGCCACTAGTTTGGGATCCAGTGTCACCTGCTCTAAGACATAACAAACCAGGGAAAAATGACCTGCCTGTAAATGAAGCTGCAATTTAAAAAATAGCTGCCCTTGAAAATGAGCTCACTTTTCTTCGTTCTCAGATTGCTGCAATTGTGGAAATGCAAGAACTGAAAAATAGTGCAAATTATCGCTCTTTGGACTTGAATGATGGGACCATAAGTTTGGGACAAATGCTATCATCGGGGGCTGCTCAGCTGTGTGTGGAACCAGATGAGTTTCCAAGTCCAGCGCTTTCCTCCCCTCCTCCTCCACCACCACTTCCTCCTCAGCTTTCTTCTCTCCAGCCTCCATGTTTTCCTCCCACACAACCAGGATCTAATAATATGTGTGACTCAGATAATTCAGCGACTGAAATTAACAAACATCACCTAGGTGCTAGTAACACCAACTATAGTCATTCAAAAAGCCAGAGAAATAAAGATGTTCCAAACATGCTGGATGTTCTGAAGGATATGAACAAGGTTAAGCTTTGTGCTATTGAATGGTCACCTGGCGGTAGACCCATTCGTAAAAGGAAAAGACGAAGTTCACATTGGGATCCAGTGTCTTTAATATATCAAGCACTTAAGCAGAAATTTGCCTTCCAAGAAGATGATTCTTTTGAGAAAGAAAATAGATCTTGGGAGTCTTCCCCATTTTCTAGTCCAGAAACTTCAAGGATTGCACATCACAGTCAGAAGGACTGAACTAAAGAAAGAACTGGGAAACACAAAAGCCGTTGACCAAGAGGTCAGCAGTAAGAGCTGTGTCTGCACTTGGAAGGAAAGACTGCAGAAATAACGCCAGCCTGTCTTTCACTGCATTTCAAGGGATCTTCTCTTCTGTTGAATGAGATTAAATGAAGCCTGTGTACTGGGATATGTTAGTTCAGAGGTCTGAAGAGTCTTGATTCTTAAGGATACCTGTTTCTGGTTTTGGAAGAGCCAGCAGTTAACTGGCTACTGTCTGGATTTTTTTTTTCATGTATGGTAATAATATGAATATGTTATTCAGCACTCATGCCGAATACATACTTCAAATAAGTTTCTTAAGCAATTATGATTTCTTAATTTAAGAACTTTTGAATCTTTTAACAATTGGTAGTGATCTGGTTTACTTGTCCTCCAGCAACTTGGAGATTTTCGAAGAGGATAAACTTATACATTTTCATTAAGATAGTCATAGTTTAAATTATATAGGTTGAGCCTTTTAAAACTTCTGAGATGATAAATTATTCTGAGAAACTTATTTTCCTGTTAAATGCTGCAATACATATTTAAAGTTTTCTTGATAAGTTTTACCTATACTTGCTATGTAAATATGTACACCTGTCATTTTTTGTTCCTTTGTTCCCTATTACATTTGTACTCTGTTTCTTTGTAAACAGAGGGTAAAATAAAATGCCTTTTGAACTTGAAAAAAAAAAAAGAAGTTGCAGCTGACTTTTGTATGAAGGATAAGAGAAAGGGAGGGGATGTGACATTAAAACAGAAGGAAAAAGAGAGAGCCCTCAAATATTTAATCTACTGTCCGTGCTTCCAGTAATAAGATGGTCAAGTAGATGATTGCCTATAAATTGGGATTTGAGGAAAGCCGGAAAATAATCCAGGCCAAATATGTACAACTCCTGTTATTGAACAAAATCCAGATTCCTTGAATTAATAAAAATCAGATTTCATCTCTCTGAATTAATGTTATAAACTTAGAGCCTTCATAAAATTTTTGTTTTGGCCTGACATGGTGGGGCATGCCTGTAATCCTAGCACTCTGGGAGGGCAAGGCAGGCGGATTACTTGAGCTCAGGAGTTCAAATCCAGCCTGAACAAGAGTGAGACCCTCCCAGTCTGTATTTTCTAAAAAAAAAGAAACCAAAAATAGTTGTGGTTTTATAATAGTATATTTGTATAAGCCTTAAGGCAAAGAGGGCATTTCTCATGCTTTCTCTAAAGTACTAAACAGTCTGAGTGATATGATGCTTAGGGGCTTTTGTAACCAGCACTATGAACCAATTTCAATGATCTCTATATGTTTTTTTATAATCTTCTCACTTAACTACTTGATTTTTGAGCTACTTCCCAGAAATGGTGGATTTTCTGAAATACAAAGGAGCTGAAGGTCCCTGGGCAGACTTCCTGTTGCTAAGACTCACCACTCCCGACAACCTGCCCCTCTTAAAAAGCCCATGATCTATGTTAGTCAGAGAGATGGACTCGAGGTAGCTTCTCCTATTGTCCTTCCTGATAAGACGACATCATGTTTTCTGTTTTCAAAAAATTCTTTTCTTCCTTGTCTCAATAATTGGATCTTTCTGTGATGAGCAACAGGACCTAGGCGGAAACACCCCTGAAGTTTCCACAGCACTCTGAGGACCCTGCTTCAACTTTCCTATCAATAAACAGGCTCCTAAGGAACTCTAGAATTGTGGGGAAAGTGATTTTGTAGATCTAATTATCAG